ATCAACATTAGTCAATTACTCTCAACTGGTTGTTCATTCACCTACGATGAGGTGCGCTGAAACCTAGCGGCCTGGGGTCAACTCTTGTCAAGTCCAGATGGCTCACACATAACCCCTATTGGCAGGTCTGATAGAATACATACAGGGAACACTGAGATCCAATACTGCTCATAAAATACATAATGAGTACATAATAAAGTACAGTAACTGAAAAAATCAACAGTTGGAAATATATCCATAAATACAGTGGACCCCTGACATTCGATGGCATCGACATTCGATAAATCCGACATTCGATAAATCCAACATTCGATGCATTTTAACGCAAAAATTTCGCCTCAACATTCGATGGAAAACCCGACATTCGATACGATTCGTACGAGACGTGTCCACGTGTGGCCTGAACTGCACCGTGTGTGCCATTGTTTACAAGCCAGCCAGTGTGCGTGCATCTAAGGATACATTCGGTACATTCCATATTATCCATATTATAACTGTTTTTGGTGCTTGTTTCTGCAAAATAAGTAACCATGGGCCCCAAGAAAGCTTCTAGTGCCAACCCTTCAAGAAAAAAGGTGCTAATGACTATTGAAATGAAGAAAGAGATAATTGCAAAGGTTGGTTTGAAAGATTTAAGAATCATAGTGGCATACACAGTGTGGTAAGGCATGGTGAGGCTGCCAGTTCAAGTCCTAATGGAAGGGGATTTCCCTTCTAAACACTAACACCATCCACACTCTCCCCTCCTCCCATCCCAGATCTTTATTAATGGTAAGTGTCAATTATTCTATTGTTATTAATCTATTGTTATTGTTGTTATTGTAATTATTCTATTGCATTAAACTTAATATTTCATGTGGTAAATTTTTTTTTCATACCTTTGCGTGTCTTGCACGGATTAATTTGATTTCCATTATTTCTTATGGAGAAAATTAATTTGACTTTCGATATTTTCGACATTCGATAGCTCTCAGGAACGGATTAGTATCGAATGTCGAGGGTCCACTGTACATTGAAAACAACAAATAGATTAAATCATAAACTTCTAACCATAATCAGTTTACTGAGATTAAATCACAGACTCCTACCTATAATCTGTTTACCAAGACTAAATCATAGGTTCCTACCCATAATCTGTTTACCGAGACTAAATCATAATCTGTTGACTGAGACTATGTCAGAAAAATCATAGGTTCCTACCTATGATCTGTTTACCATGACTACGTCCATCATCTAGAGTTAGCAAAGAGATGTTTTATTATTATATTCATAGAATTGATGAGGGAAAAAAGGTGAGTGGTGCGTTGAGGTATATGTGGAGTCAAAAAACGTTATCTATGGAGGCAAAGAAGGGAATGTATGAAAGTATAGTAGTACCAACACTCTTATATGGGTGTGAAGCTTGGGTGGTAAATGCAGCAGCGAGGAGACGGTTGGAGGCAGTGGAGATGTCCTGTCTAAGGGCAATGTGTGGTGTAAATATTATGCAAAAAATTCGGAGTGTGGAAATTAGGAGAAGGTGTGGAGTTAATAAAAGTATTAGTCAGAGGGCAGAAGAGGGGTTGTTGAGGTGGTTTGGTCATTTAGAGAGAATGGATCACAGTAGAATGACATGGAAAGCATATAAATTTATAGGGGAAGGAAGGCGGGGTAGGGGTCGTCCTCGAAAGGGTTGGAGAGAGGGGGTAAAGGAGGTTTTGTGGGTAAGGGGCTTGGATTTCCAGCAAGCGTGCGTGAGCGTGTTAGATAGGAGTGAATGGAGACGAATGGTACTTGGGACCTGACGATCTGTTGGAGTGTGAGCAGGGTAATATTTAGTGAAGGGATTCAGGGAAACCGGTTATTTTCATATAGTCGGACTTGAGTCCTGGAAATGGGAAGTACAATGCCTGCACTTTAAAGGAGGGGTTTGGGATATTGGCAGTTTGGAGGGATATGTTGTGTATCTTTATATGTGTATGCTTCTAGACTGTTGTATTCTGAGCACCTCTGCAAAAACAGTGATAATGTGCGAGTGTGGTGAAAGTGTTGAATGATGATGAAAGTATTTTCTTTTTGGGGATTTTCTTTCTTTTTTGGGTCACCCTGCCTCGGTGGGAGACGGCCGACTTGTTGAAAAAAAAAAAAAAAAAAAAAAAAAAAAAATTCATGGAGAAGTGCTAAACCAGTAAGAGCAGGGCTGAATTTGGGTGTTGGCAGAGAGGACATTTTCCCCACAGGCCTCCACCACTAGCATTACCAATAATTTACAATTACAAAATAAGCAATGATATTATGCATCAGCTTCATTTCAGCCAACTTATAAGAAACTTTGCTAATGAGGCAAGGAAAGTGTCTGACTTTAAAAAACCAACTTGAAGTGTTCCTATATTAATGTTTCAGTTTGAATGATGTTCTGTGGATGAGTAGCACATTTTCTGTAATAATGTTGGTAGAATTACCTTTCGAGGCATTATGGTGTGACAAAGTTCTTGGAGAGCGAAATGTTGCCACAATAAAATGCTGCATTAGTTGCACTTGTGTACTTTTACCTAACAATATGTTTTCTGTTAAATAAGGTCAATTTATAGTTTCATGCCTGTTCAGTATACAGCCATTTGTAGGCCTAACATTTTGCATAAAACCAATAAATGCCCAATTATGTCAATAAAAACAGGTATGGAAATGACACTTTGATTGCTGTGAGCCTTTGATAAAAGACTTTTAAATGTTATCTTCTATTTGGGTTATATTTATGTTGTTGATCTCACATTTAAGAGAAAGAGTTTTGAATTAAAAAGAAATCTTAACTTCATTATGAAAAGGCCTTCCACAGGCCTCCTCCATCCTAAATCCAGCCATGCACAAGTCATAAAGCACCTGGATAATGGGAGATAATCAGGTCTGATTTGATAAAGAGCAGGGTGTAAGTGACTGCACTTCTTCAAATCAAGAGCCCTACAGTACCAAGGCCTCCCTACCCTTTGAAGGATGTATTTTAAAGTCACAAACACTACAGTAGTGTACATGTTCTAGCCTGAGCTGACCTTTACTTAAAATTACTGGTAGTTAGCCAAACACTACACTCTTCAATAATCTCATTTGTGTCTTAGTTCATTTTAATACATTATGCAGTAATGGCCTGTCAGAAGTGTTATTCTACAACTCACCTACTGTATATGTTGGGATTATGATATGAATCATAGAGGCAAACAAAAATTAAAAACCTATCAGTGGCAAAAGTAATGGAAGTGTTAGTGTTAGTGTTAGTTTCCTATCTAAACACAATACAGATTTCAGCGAGGTTTAAGAGTTAAATGAATCAATTGATTTCTTCAGACTGAAGAAATCAATTGATTCATTTAACTCTTAAACTGTCCAAATGTAAATATACGTTTGCTCGCCTAGCACTCTGAACATAGATCTACGTTTAATTTTACATGCTTTCTTATGGAGAAAATCAAGATTGGAGCGCTACGTGCACAAACGTAGATCTACGTTTGGACAGTTTAAGGGTTAAGAGATAAAACTATGTGCTTTCCAGCCAGCGGAAAGACAGTGCTGGAAAATCTAGATCAGTGTAAGCACTGCTAAACCCCTGAAGAGTTAAGAGTTGAAGAAATGATAGCACTATACTGTACATGAAGCACTGAGAAAAAAAGCAATGAACTCACCAGTGAGCAGAAAGTAAATATTGAGTGAAAATTGCATTTTCTACAGAACTGAATGATTGATTACCAGGATACTGTAGCAAAAATGTTGCATAGGTTTGTAAGCGATTTTCACAAAAGTGACTACTGGCAAATTCATCATTATTCTTCTCAGCACCTTTCATGATTTAAAGATATAGATAGATGAAGTTACAGAGTAACTTCACCAAAGTAACTGTACCATATTAAGTGTATGACTAAATGTAAAGCATTAACTGGATTTCAAGAACCTTAATTTTGACTACATTTTGCAAGAATTATTTTGTCAGTATTGCAATGAGGTATGTCTGTGTCTGGGCCTATGTAAGTGGCAATGGCCAAGGTTTTTCATGCCACATTAGATTAAATTAGATTCTTTATTTCAACACGATACAATGTTTGCACAGAGGTGGACGACATTTAGGTGTGCATGCAGAAAACCTCTTAATATACAGAGCATTTCGGGAAAACTTAAGACTAACTTAAGATTAATAAGGCTGCAGAAAAACTAACTGCAGAGCAAAAAGTACACGTCAATTCTGCATGTTTTGTTTCAGAAAATAAAAATCCTTAAACTTTAAAATAAATTGGGTGAATTATCCTTTTATTTTGCAAGCCTATATTACATTAACTGAACTGGTCAATATACAGCATGTCATATATTCTTTTCTCCACTGGTCAAAAGATGTCCCACTCTGCATAAACTCTGGTCATATTAACTATGCTGCCATCAAGCACAGTGGTACCACATACAGCCTCTCCTCACTTAATGAGGGAATTCTGTTCCTAAGACCATGCCAGTAAATTAATTCGTTGCTAAGTGAGGAGCATACTATAATGGAGTGGGTTTATGTCAACCATCTTTGATATTGTTTTAATGTCACCTTTGTACCATTTATAACATTTTAAGTATATTTTTAAATGTTTATACAGTAGTGTACTGTATATTGTAATAAACAGAATAGAGGAAATCAGCTCTAATATACATTATTTAGGTATGCATACTAGTAAGAGAGTCCGTCATAAGTCCGAGTCATCAGTAAACGAGTACGTCATTAAGCGCGGCGAGGCTGTATAGTCAAAACTTGACATGAACCTTAAAAATAATAAATCTAAAACAGTCAACAGCCTAAAATAAATATGTTGAGAAACATAACAAAACTTTTATTCTAAGCAATAAAACCCTGTCTTTATCCTACATCCCAATTTACTTACAGAAGATTCGGTTATCTGCCAACAGTTTCTATGAAAATTACACAAAAAAAATGTGCCAGGATCAATTGATTTTGTTGAGCTAAGTAATCTTCCTAGCCGGCAATGGATAAATCTCACCTGACGATTTCTCTTCTGTTATTAATAGCTGCCCAATGTAGAAGTGTAACATTTTCATTATCCCTCTTGTTAATGTCATAGCCACATTCAATTAACTCCTTGCATCTTTCAATTGCACCATACTGAAAACAAAATGAAAGATAGAATAAAAAGGCAGAATACATACCGTGACAGGAACAATACATAAATAACCCACACAAAGGAGAATGAAACTTATGACAATGTTTTGGTCCAACGTGGCCCATTAACTAGCCACACATGTGTCTAATTAATGGGCCAAGTCAGACTGAAATGCCATCATAATTTTCATTCTCGTGTGTGCAGGTTAAGTAAAATTAAATATACATTATACATAATGTGTATTTTTAAGAATTACGCAATGTACAATGTATTATCATAATACATGGTGACAATACTGAAAGAGAACTATTCATGCAGTATAGTATTTACAATATTGCTTACATATTTTTTTTTTTAATTTCTATATTCTGGATTCGGTTTTAAGTTTACCATCTGCAACTTCTACAGAATTTCCATACACATTTATAAACAAAGTTGCTTCATTAGACATTTAAACTTATTAAAAAACTGTATTTATTAATTGACTATTATGCTTGTTATATTAATAAATTCAGAAAGCTTAACACTTAACCTCTTAAAACTTACCTGGGTTGCCTTAACAATATCAAAAGTTGAGAAATCAGATTCATTTGTGTTACGCGTTGTGGGTTCAGAGTTCTGAATACTTCCTGTGGCTTCATCTGCATCAGTCTCCCGCTCAACACCATATATTCCACTGGGATTGCACGCATCCTTTTAAAAAGATTATGATTAGTAAATCAAGATAAAAAATAATGCCCTATTTTAATATAAAAATTAATACACAGTAGAACATATTATTAGAGAGATAAGAAAATACTCCAAATGTCAGCCTCTCACTCAAGCCTAAGACAGTTATATATTTCTCTCTGATAGTTAAAAATGTTGGTTCAGAAAGTGACCCTCTCCTTTGACAACTGTGCCCCACAAGTCATAAATGGAAATCAGACATTTTGATGTATCTTGCATCACTATTAAGTTACTACATAATAACGGTCCATGACAAAGAGGAATGTCATCTAGTCTTTCTTTCCCTTTCACAGATTAGTTGTAAATGGTTCTATTTAAAATATTATGACTTTTATTCCATTTGTTTGATATGCTCACATGTTTCGGTGTCCATTCAGGGTTCTTTAGGAAAATAATGTTGCTTAGGCAGCTTGTGCAAAGCTGAAAAATTTATTATATAGATGATCTCCAGCATTGTTTGAGAGTTCATCATGATCCCTAATCAACCAGTTCCAGCTGAGGAAGGGTTGTTGAGGTGGTTCGGACATGTAGAGAGAATGGAGCGAAACAGAATGACTTCAAGAGTGTATCAGTCTGTAGTGGAAGGAAGGCGGGGTAGGGGTCGGCCTAGGAAAGGTTGGAGAGAGGGGGTAAAGGAGGTTTCGCCACTGTGTGGCGAAACGTTTCTTCAATAAAGATTCCCATATGTTGCATAAGTGTCTCAATTCTTCAACTGTCTAACTTATTTCCATTGGGGTCCTCAATCTTGTCCCCCAGGATGCGATCCACACCAGTCGACTAACACCCAGATACCTATTTGCTGCTAGGTGAACAAAACAACAGATGTAAGGAAACGTGTCAAAATGTTTCCACCCCGCCGGGAATCGAACCTGAGCCCTCCGTGTGTGAAGCGAGAGCTTTAGCCACCAGGTGTCAGTGACTTACAGTAAAAAATGTCACGTGCTGAAAACCACATACTTGTTAAAAGCTATATTAGGTATTTTTAACATATTATTATTTAAGGCAGATTAAACTCCAGGATTAAAATATTGGCAGAGACTAATGGAAGACCCACACGTGCAATACTATCACATTTATTGAGAAGGTTGGTTGTGGGCAGCTTCTTTAATGTAATGAAGAGATGAAAATTGGCAGGGTATATATATAAATATATTATATAATTGTATATATATATGTGTGAGAGAAGTTTTGATGAGCGTGTGTTTCTGGTGATGGTGATTAACGTGGTTAAATAAAGCTTATTAGTGACGTGAAAACACATGTGACAGTGCAGGTGTGTGGAGTGGTGGGCAGCAGGTATTGTGGTGGGCAGCAGGTATTGTGGTGGGCAGCAGGTGTGTGGTAAGCAGCAGGTGGCACTAACCTGGCCCATTAAATCCACTGGGTTACAGGATGGATCAACCTCGCCAGCCATGTTTGTTGTCAAGTTTGTCTCAGCTGATGATGGCGTCGTCTGCTGTTATTATTGTTACTACTACCACTACTATTATTGTTACTACTACCACTACCACTACTATTATTGTTACTACTACCACTACTACTACTATTATTGTTACTACTACCACCACTACCACTACTATTATTGTTACTACTACCACTACTACTACTATTATTGTTACTACTACCACTATTACTACTATTATTGTTACTACTACCACTACTACTACTATTATTGTTACTACTACCACTACTACTGCTATTATTGTTACTACTACCACTACTACTACTATTATTGTTACTACTACCACTACTACTACTATTATGTTACTAACTACCATACAAATACTATTATTGTTACTACTACCACTATTTACTACTATTATTTTACTACTACCACTACCACTACTATTATTGTTACTACTACCACTACTACTACTATTGTTACTACTACCACTACCAATACTATTATTGTTACTACTACCACTACCACTACTATTATTGTTACTACTACCACTACTACTACTATTATTGTTACTACTACCACTACCACTACTATTATTGTTACTACTACCACTACTTTTATTGTTACTACTACCACTACTACTACTATTATTGTTACTACTACCACGACTACTACTATTATTGTTACTATTACCACTACTACTACCATTATTGTTACTACTACCACTACTACTACTATTGTTACTACTACCACTACTACTACTATTATTGTTACTACTACCACTACTACTACTATTATTGTTACTACTACCACTACTACTACTATTATTGTTACTACTACCACTACTACTACTATTATTGTTACTACTACCACTACTACAAACTATTATTGTTACTACTACCACTACTACTAACATTATTGTTACTAATACCACTACTACTACTATTATTGTTACTACTAACCACTACTACTACTATTATTGTTACAAATTACCACTACTACTACTATTATGTTACTACTACTACTATATTGTTACACTACCACTACTACTACTATTATTGTTACTACTACCACTACTACTACTATTATTGTTACTACTACCACTACTACTACTATTGTTACTACTACCACTACTACTACTATTATTGTTACTACTACCACACTACAAACTATTATTGTTACTACTACCACTACTACTACTATTATTGTTACTACTACCACTACTACTACTATTATTGTTACTACTAGCACTACTACTTCTATTATTGTTACTACTACCACTACTGGACCTGGAGTTTACCTGGAGAGAGTTTCGGGGGTCAACGCCCCCGCGGCCCGGTCTGTGACCAGGCCTCCTGGTGGATCAGCGCCTGATCAGCCAGGCTGTTGCTGCTGGCTGCACGCAAACCAACGTACGAGCCACAGCCCGGCTGATCAGGAACTGACTTTAGGTGCTTGTCCAGTGCCAGCTTGAAGACTGCCAGGGGTCTGTTGGTAATCCCCCTTATGTGTGCTGGGAGGCAGTTGAACAGTCTCGGGCCCCTGACACTTATTGTATGGTCTCTTAACGTGCTAGTGACACCCCTGCTTTTCATTGGGGGGATGGTGCATCGTCTGCCAAGTCTTTTGCTTTCGTAGTGAGTGATTTTCGTGTGCAAGTTCGGGACTAGTCCCTCTAGGATTTTCCAGGTGTATATAATCTGTATCTCCCCTCCTGCGTTCCAGGGAATACAGGGTTTTGAAACCTCAAGCGCTCCAGTAATTGAGGTGTTTTATCTCCGTTTTTGCGCGCCGTGAAAGTTCCTGTACATTTTTTTAGGTCGGGAATTTCACCTGCCTTGAAAGGTGCTGTTAGAGTGCAGCAATATCCAGCCTAGATAGAACAAGTGACCTGAAGAGTGTCATCATGGGCTTGGCCTCCCTAGTTTTGAAGGGTTTTCATTAAACCATCCTGTCATTTTTCTAGCAGATGCGATTGATACAATGTTATGGTCCTTGAAGGTGAGATCCTCCGACATAATCACTCCCAGGTCTTTGACGTTGGTGTTTCGCTCTATTTTGTGGCCAGAATTTGTTTTGTACTCTGATGAAGATTTAATTTCCTCATGTTTACCATATCTGAGTAATTGAAATTTCTCATCGTTGAACTTCATATTGTTTTCTGCAGCCCACTGAAAGATTTGGTTGATGTCTGCCTGGAGCCTTGCAGTGTCTGCTAATACCACTACTACTACTATTATTGTTACTACTACCACTACTACTACTATTATTGTTACTATTACCACTACTACTACTATTATTGTTACTACTACCACTACTACTATTATTATTGTTACTACTACCACTACTATTATTGTTACTACTACCACTACCACTACTATTATTGTTACTACTACCACTACTACTACTATTAAATTTTTTACTACTACCCCTACCACTACTAAATTATTGTTACCCACTACCACTACCACTACTGTTATTGTTACTACTACCACTACCACTACTATTATTGTTTTCTACTACCACTACCACTACTATTATTGTTACTACTACCACTACCACTACTATTATTGTTACTACTACCACTACCACTACTATTATTGTTACTACTACCACTACCACTACTATTATTGTTACTACTACCACTACCACTACTATTATTGTTACTACTACCACACTAAATACTACTATTATTTTTTACTACTACTACTACTACTACTACTACTACTATTATTATTATTATTATTGTTGCTACTACTACCATTACCATTACTACTACCACTACTATTATTGTTACTACTACCACTACCACTACTATTATTGTTACTACTACCCCTACTACTACTTTATTGTTTATACTACCACTACCCTACTATTATTGTTACTACTACCACTAAACCCCTACTGTTATTGTTACTACTACCACTACCACTACTATTATTGTTACTACTACCACTACCACTACTATTATTGTTACTACTACCACTACCACTACTATTATTGTTACTACTACCACTACCACTACTATTATTGTTACTACTACCACTACCACTACTATTATTGTTACTACTACCACTACCACTACTATTATTGTTACTACTACCACTACTACTACTACTATTATTGTTACTACTACTACTACTACTACTACTACTATTATTATTATTATTATTGTTGCTACTACCATTACCACTATTATTATTATTGTTACTACTACTACAAATACTTACTACTACTACTACTACTACTACAACAAATACTACTACTATTATTATTATTTTTTGTTGCTACTACCATTACCACTATTATTATTATTATTATTATTATTATTATTATTATTATTATTATTATTATTATTATTGTTACTACTACCATTACCACTATTATTATTATTGTTACTACTACCATTACCACTGGGTTTTTATTATTGTTACTACTACCATTACCACTATTATATATTATTATTATTATTATTATTATTATTATTATTATTATTATTATTTTTTTACTACTACCATTACCACTATTATTATTATTATTATTATTGTTACTGCTACCACTACTACTACTATTATTGTTACTACTATGGAAATTTTTATTTGGGGTTACCTGTATGTACCTCAACATTATATACATACAAGTAATCTCATTGGGAGACAACAACCGTATTGTTTACCGTAGTCACCCCGTGTAGACATGTGAGAAAACTTAACCACCCCAGGTCCCTGCAGGTGGTTCCTTCGACCTTAGTTTAATATGTTTATTATGCACCCTATACCCATCCTGTGGGCGGTAGTCAAAAGATTACAGAGGTACATAATGGGTCCAGGGACTGGGCCTCAAAGTTTTGATAGCTGAGCAAGTTACAGAGGTAATGAATTCACAATTTACAAAGGTAATGAACTCACAATTTACAAAGGTAATGAACTCCAGGTAGGTCTAGTCACAATCATGACAAGTTACAAAGGTATTTACAGATTACAGAGGTACACAATGGGTCCAGGGACCGGGCTCCAAAGTTTTGATGGCTGAACTAGGTCAAGGTAATGAACTCACAAGTACAAAGGTAATGAAACTCACAATTTCAAAGGTAATGAATACTGTAAGAATGGTTTCTTACGTTTTATACATGGCTGCAATCATGAACAAATTATAGTGTAATGAGCAATTCACACTTCCACACCCGTCACAACTGTAGTGAGTTATTGGTGCAAATGTTGATTGCTGATTTTCTCCCTCTCTCTCACACACACCCACACACACACATACAAATTCATACACACAAAACACATAAACAACACACACACACACACACACACACACACACACACACACACACACACACACACACACAGACCTGTACTCTAACGTTAAGTATGCAAGGTCATGGAGAAGATCATCAGGAGGAGAGTGGTGGGGCACCCGGAAAGAAACAAGTGTATAATTGAAAAACCACACGGTTTCAGGGGAAAGGGAAAAACCTGTGTCACAAACCTACTAGAGTTTTATGACAAGGTGACAGAAGTAAGACAAGAGAGAGAGGGGTGGATCGACTGCGTTTTTGGACTGCAAGAAGGCTTTCGACACAGTTTTCCCCACAATAGGTTACTGCAAAAGCTAGAGGACCAGGGACACATAACAGGAAAGGCACTGCAATGGATCAGAGAAATCTGACAGGGAGGAAACAACGAGTCATGGTACGCGACGAGGGGTCAGAGTGGGCGCCTGTGACAAGCGGGGTTCCACAGGATCAGTCCTAGGACCTGGCTGTTCTTGGTATACGTGAACGACATAACGGAAGGATAGACTCAGAAGTGTCCTTGTTTGCAGACGATGTGAAGTTAATGAAAGAAATCGAATCGGACGAGGATCAGGCAGGACTACAAAGAGATCTGGAAAAGGCTACAAGCCTGGTCCAGCAACTGCTCCTTAATTTAACCCTGCCAAATGCAAAGTCATGAAGATTGGGGAAGGGCAAAGAAGACCGCAGACACAATATAGTTTAGATGGCCAAAGACTGCAACCCCCACTAAAGGAAAAAGATCTGGGGGTGAGTATAACACCGAGCATATCTCCTGAGGCGCACAT